TTTTCCAATAGGGGTCCCTATTTTACAGGAGAAATTGGTCTTTTGAGTCCCAGAGTCAGAGAAATTAAGTCCACTCTGTAAAAGACTCTGTATGCTTGATTTTGCAGGTAGTGATTTCAAACCAAAAAGAAAAATGTGACAAGAACCATACAAGTGTTGCTATGAACTAAGACTGCCTATGAGTTTAATTACATTCCATCTCTTTTATTCAACAGCCCAATATTGCACTTTCCTTCTTGCATCACCCCTAGAGAAAGGCAGGCCACACCAGTATTCAAACTCCTACATAGTCACCCTATACAAGACCACATTATAACATCCACACTTCTCCATACTATACCCACCCTCTAATGAATTCTAAACCTTTCCTTGGAACAGAAACAACTGACTACCACATGCACAGAGAACAGGCACATTTGAAATCTCTCTATCTGTAACATAAGAACTTGCAGCTCATTCTTAAATGTTTTGAAAAGATTAAAGATGCAAAAGCAAATGAAAAGTACACAAGTACACCATCACTGAAAGGAAATTCTGGAGCAATATTTCCAAAATTTTTCTAGCTCCTAACAATCCTCTTCTTCCATGACCAGGGGTACATATTCATCTCATGATTACCAGGAGAGAACAAGTGATCTCCTGTTTCTACTTTCTCAGACGTGAGATGTGCAATATCACTTTCAATTATTAAGATGAAACTGTTGATAAACATGAAGTTCAAGGAAATTGCAAAATGACGTCCCTTGAAACATCATCATACAGGAAAAGCATACAGGAAATTCATATGTTTCTCCGAAGATACTACATAAAGCTCTTTTAGAGGGTTTCATGTTTATTACATGAAACTCTTTTAGATGTAAAAAAATACACAAACTTTTAAGTGTCCTCTAGTACAAATACTCAACTGCATTAAAAATTTTGGTCAACTACCTGTTTTCCTTGACTTTTATAAGGACTGTGCATGCATCTACATCTGATTTTGACATTATAACCTAGTACTTTCTGGCCAGGGGCTAAGGGAAAGAAGAATTGTCTACAGTTCACTCTTAATGGGTATTTTCTGCCTTCTTTCATGATATTTTTAAGAAATATCAAATGAAGTATAAAGTCAGTAATGTCCTGGAAAGGAAAGGAGTTACACTCCTTAACATGGCAGCCTGATTATGACCCAACTATCAGAGAAACAAAAGTTACATTAGTATCAGAATCGGGGAGGCGGAGGAAATTACTCCTTTTGAGAGTCAGGAAGTTCTAGCTATGTCAGCATTCCTATTACAAGACATATAGTACAACAGGAGAAAGCTAACATTTTAAATGCTTCTTTATCTGTCATTCAAAGGTTTCCTGAAAAGTAAAAATATTTCAAATGCAAATCAGATAAACACAAATATATACCAAATTCTTCTCTCATGAATAAAAATTAATTATTTTTCTGGACTATCGCACTAAGAAAAACATCTAAAACATTCCACAGTTACATGAAACCATGGGGGTTTTTTTTCCAATGTATGAAGCAAAAGTAGAATTCTCTATCAAAAAGCACCAAAAGGTGACCCAGGGCAACAGGTAATTGTAGGTTAATAAGCCACCATATGAGGGCAAGGACCTTGCTGCCTTACAAAACCCGCATTTTTAATCAAAGCCACATTTGAATTTGATTCATATATTTACTGAAGATCAGGAGCATAACTACAGATGGAATATTTTTATTTTCAATATCTTTTATTTTCTAAAACGTAATTACATCCTCTTAAAAGGCATATTTTAAGACTTCTGTTCCATTCTTTTTAAATCTTATCGCTACAAGTTTCTGTTGAAAGACAATAAAACATGTTTTTAAATAATACACACACAAATAGACATATTTACGTCACAAGGCAGCAGTTAACTGAGGACTAAGGGCATTCCAGATTATTTCAACACACATCTGACAGAACTCATGAAAAACATCATTCATTTCTTTGATCCTTTGGTAAAAGATCACAGCACTCGTATGTTTAAAATAGGCTACTGGAACCTGAACTGTAAGAGAAGCGTGGAACAATTACAGCACAGTCCCAACCATAAATACTCTGCCCTGTAGATACCAGGGTCACATCAAACAGTGCCAGACACTAGAGTTCTAATATTTATGGTTAAAGAGACTATTCATAGTCACTTGTAAGTAACCTTTACCAAATGGCAAAGTTACTGAAGTTTCATGTTAATCAGAAACTATTCCTTGCACTTTCACAAGTATACTGCCATGTTTTAATAAAACATACTGCTAGGTCATATTGGAAATGAATTATTGATCCCCCTGAGTTGTTAAGATTAAACTTTTACAACCAATATTTTTAGGATAAGTTAACTGTAATGATGAACAGCTATAAAGTAAATTAAATCCCTAAATCATATGCTGTTTACAATGTTTAGATCACTAGCTGTATGGAAGTTTGTTATCACCTATGCAACAACAAAACATTAACTGAACTTCAAGGAACATGGAACTGACTACTGCTGCTTGATGCATTGAATATTTTATTAACAGTAATAAGCATATTTTTCATGACCAAAACACTGGAAACAAAGTGATTGTCACAACTGCCGAAGAAAATGAGCAGGAACCAAATTTACACAGTTCTACTGGCAGTAGAAAGTGTACATATTTTACCACTGCTCCATAAAAGCCTAGCTGGCACTAGGCAATAAAGGATTACTCAATTAACCATAAACCAGAGCTTACAATACTAATTGTTGCATTTGAAACTTGAATCATAAAAGAGTTAACAGTTGTATGTTTACAATGTAAAGACAGGTTGCTTGTACACTATGTGATAAAAGAAGAAACCCAGAGATTTAAAATCAACACTCAGTCATAATGATAAAGATGAACTCTCAGTAAATGTCATTAGTTTAATTCGGACTTCCTATATTTTAAGTCCATATTCATTTGCTTAAGGCATAGCTCAAATCCATCTACAAAGACAAAACCACCAACTACCTATACAGTTCTAAAGCAATTTTTCAAAATTGGTCATAAAACCAATTGGTATGATGCTGTAAAAGAGCCAGTGGCTACTGTGCAAGTATCTTGACAAGTATGTTGTCTCTTAACAGTGTTGAGAAAGGTAACTGTTTACAAAGAAATGCAGAGTTCAGTACTTGAGTCATACACATCCTGTATGTTTTCCCAGAAGATATTAAAGGAAATAGCAATGTTCCTTTATTACACAAATATGCATAATCACAGTCATCTAGTTAGAGACCTACTAAATGTTGAAATTAGTACTTTGAATTTTAAGTTTAGCATACATAGAATCACTTCCAATAACCTACATTCCCCCTCTCCATTACATTCTGTGGCTTTCGCCTACTACTAAGGGAACAAAACCACAAATAAAACACAATCTTCCTGAGTTGCTAGGGCATGTCTGAATTATGATTCCTTTAAGTTTCAAAAGTAGGTACCTTTGAAGTACACCAGTTACTTCTGGAGTGCCTTAAAACTTTAAAAATTATGAAAATACTGAAACACGAAGGCTACAGAGAGAGATTAAAATCTTAGTCCTCCTGAAACATTATAAAATCACAATTAATCACAGAATCATAAAATATCCTGAGTTGGAAGGGACCTACAAGGATCATGGAAGTCCAACTCTTGGCCCTGCATAGGACACCCCAAGAATCACACCATGTGCCTGAGAGCATTGTCCAAACACTTCTTGAACTCTGTTAGGCTTGGTGCTGTGACCCCTTCCCTGGGGAGCCTGTTCCAGTGCCCAACTACCCTCTTAACGAAGAACCTTTTCTTTTATCTGACTTAAACCTCCCCTGACACAACTTCAGGCCATTTCCTCAGGTCCTGTCTGGTCATCAGAGAGAAAAGATCAGTGCCTGCCCCTCTGCTTCCCCTTGTGAGGAAGCTGTACAGTGTGCTGAGGCCTTCAGGTGAAATTCTTATGAAGCCAGAATTGTGTCAGTTTCAAGTGAACAGATTCACAACTCCACATGTCACAGGGCCCCTAATTAGCCTAAACCCTAGACCTTTGGGGTTTTTTATGCAATGGGTGGTGTGATAGGATGAACACAGATCACTACCACCAAACTGCAGCGCTGCAAACTCCCATTTCTGAATACTTGCATATCATCTAACTGGTTCAACAGCTCCTGAAATATTTCTAACCATGAGACAAATCATGTATTTACCATTACTAGCAAGTCTGGAAAGAAAGTAAATATAGGAAAAGTAAATATTGTGGCCAATGGTCAACACAAGTGTTATGATTAGGGAGAGTACACACAAGACAAAGTAGACAAGTACTATAAACCAGCTTGAATTAAATGTCTTTTTGCCTTGTCTGGTTTACCAAAATACCTCCAAAACTAAAGTTTCTCTACAGATTTATCACATTTATCACATGTATACTCTTCTTCACAGAAATCAAAACTACACATTACTTTTTTTAGGAAATACATTATCAGAAAGGTCCAAAAATGATTCTGACACTGTACAAGTCATCACTGTATTGTTTCTGTGTTTCACAAAAAACAAACTGAATCAAGGGGAAAACCTGATTTTCATAGTAATCATGCTGTTAACATTTAATGAAAGTAGAATTTGAATCAAAATGCTATGTTAGATAAAGTAAGCTTCTTCGGTAATTTTTGATCCTTTTTATTGCATCCAGGAACTGTAAAAATCTAAACTACAAGACTTCAGTTATGGATAATATCATCAAATCAGTCTTCACTTACATCGAAGAAGTAGAACATGTCAGATGTCTGCTTATTCAGACCTATGTTAGTACTGCAATCAAACACATGCCTGCACTAACAAACAAGTTATGAGAAGTTAAATCTTTTCACTAAGAGACAGTTATATCAAGTACAGACACTTTGGGTAAAAAGCACAACCAGCTGATTCAACACTTGCACACAGAAACTCCAGCTGAACGAAAAACAAAGCTTCCTGAAACATAATAAACAGGAGAGCTACTGTAATGACACTGATTTCTTACCCTACGCATGGCTTCCTCCTCCTCTTGACGCTTCTCATAATGTGCAAAGTCATCAAAGATTGAGGTGGTATGCTTGAAAGTAGCAATTATTTTAAGCACTTGCTTGGCTTTTTCTAGGGGTACCTCTTGAGTGTCCCTCGAATTGGTAACCGGTTTGTTGTCATTGTTTTCCAAGCGAATGTGCCGCAGTTGGTTATTGGGAACGTCTTTGACAAAGATCCATTTGACATCAAACTTCCCCTTCCACTTATCCTGAGACCAGACACCAGCATATGCATTGTAGTCCACAACAGACTTCATCTCAGCCACTCCACAAAAGTGTCCACTGCCATTCACACTGAAGAGTAAATAGAGTGGGCCTTTTCCATTCAGGGAACGGTAAGCAGCATCCAAGCGCTTATTACCATGCTCAGTACTACACCAGATAGAGTACTTAATGGAGCGATGAATATCGTCCTCTGAATAACTTTTGATTATAAACACGCGTCCGTTCTTCAGATTCCAATCGAAGTCTTTGGGATTGTAGTTGTTTATGGCCTTTAGTTTCTCCAGCACTGGGTGCACTTCCACACCAGAAGGTGAGGAGCTGACGGATACAACACCTAAACCAAAGTTCTCACTACCAGCTCCATTGTTCTGGCTGAAGCCCACACCCCTATTACGAGGAGCTACCCAGCGGTTTTGCAGCTGTTGCTGCTGCAACTGGTGAGGCTGGGCCTGCTGCTGAGGTCCTTGTTGCTGCTGTGGTTGCTGTGGCTGAGGCTGCTGTTGAGGCAGTTGGCTTTGCACCAGTGGTGGTGGTTGAATTAATGGCTGAGGCTGCTGGATTATAGTCTGAGGAGGCAGTACTGGTTGAGCTGGGGGTGCTTTCACCACTGACCCTTTGTCATCCCAAGTTCCAATATTCATGTTGTGTTTTATTGGTGGTGGTGGTACAGCAGGGCCCCCAATGCCTACATTACCTTTAGGCTTGAGTTTCGGCTGAGGTTTAGCAGGTTTCCTTGCAATTGCAGCCCATGAGGTTGGTTTAGGTGCTGAACTGCTAACTGGGGGCACGCTGTTAGCTGCAATGCTTGTCATACCTGTACTGCTCAGAGCTGAACCTACAGTTTTTGTTACAGCAGCCGTCATATCTCCACCGATTTTCAGTCCAGTCATGCCTTGCTCAATGCTGCTAATCCCAGGCACCTTGCTCAGAGTATCACTGCCAAATCCAGCCTGTCCATCTGCTATGGCTCTCCCAAGAGAACTAGGTGGATAGCCATAACTGCTGCTGTAAGCAGAGCTTTGCGTTGATTGTCCCTGAGATCCACTTGTCCCCCATGTAGAGAAGTCTGCATTCCCAGGAAAAAAATTAAATCCATGCTGCCCAAGAAATGGAGGGGTATTTCCTAATGCCCCAGGTTGACTAAATACACCATCGGGTATGTAATGGTGTTCACCATTACTCATCTGTCCATAAGTTGTCAAATATGGCATTGGAGGGTCGCCTGCAGTTGACCATGCTGCTTCACCTAAAGAGTATGGAAATCCAATGGATGGAGCATAATAGCTAGGCATATATGGGTCTGACATTGGTGGATAGCTGTTACTCTGCAAAAAAATAAAATAAAAATCAGCAATATTGACAATTATGCTCAGAGCAAAAAGACCCTGTAATACAATCCAAGACATTTTTAAGGGTTATATGAACGTACTTGTAACTTTCACCATTCCTCCCAACATAAAAGATGAACTAGGTAACTGTCAGATACGATCATTTTTTCAAGGGACTGTCTCAAAGCACTAAAGAGTCGCATTTTTTGTAACATACTATCTTTACTTTTAGTTACTAAGCTAGGTTAAATATGCCTCCATGCAAACAGTATCAAGAAAATAACTTAAAGTTAGCTTAAAGTAGCTTTAAAAAACAAGTCGTAACAACTGTACTTTCATAAATAAAGCAAATTGGCTACAACTATGATTTTAAGTTTTGGTATTCTTAGCTTTTGCCAAATTTCTCACTTCTCGCTTCTGTTGGAGACACCAACAGAATACAATAGTGAAATGGATGCAAGGCTGCCTGTTTACTTACAAGAAACAACAATAAAACCATAACATTTCCATGCTATTGAGAATGGACTTTAAATCAGTACTACACCAGATAGACTCCTGGGAAATCACAGAATTTACTTCTTGAGACATTTGAAGGACTAGCCCCCATGACTTCTGATGTTGTTTTGGGGAAAAAATGCACATTATCATTCTCTAGCTGATGCCTCCTTAATGTTGAATTCTCGTGCAAAAAAAAGTGAAGGCAAGCAAAATTCTGAAAGTTTTTTAATAATTTGCACTTTGCCCCTCTCTCAAGACTTTACAAACTTAACACAACGCATATAAACTTTTGGCTACAGGGGCAATTCACAGCTCTGAAAGTCAAGTCATTAACTTCTTGGCAGAGAAGTTGTACCAAGCTGTAGTAATATTAACTTTCAACCTATTATGCCATCAGCTGTGAGCTACTTCTACCACCTTCAAAGGAAATCGTGTCCAAGCACTTAATATATTCTCAGAGCCAATAAAACTGTTGTTTTGAACTGCATCCAACAGATGATAATTTTGTGGCAAAGGTAAGGGGCTGGGTTTTGGTCTGGGGGTTGTGTTTTGGTTTTTTGGTTTGTTTTTTTCTCGAGCTTCTTGTACTGCGTCTTTCTGAAGCCAAAACACAAGCGCAACAGCAGGAGACATCAAAGCATGCTTTTTAACTGAAGCTTGTCCAGAATTCTTAGGAATACTTTATCTGCTTAAGATATCATAAGACAAAATATGATATAAAATTATATTTCAATGGATATTCAGGCAAGTAAGTAATTCTAAGAAATATCCAAAAATTAAGTCTGGAAGTCAGTTGAACGCCAAAATTAACTTCAAGGTAGTAAATAACGTTCACTTACCTGATTTGTCTGACTACTTAGATATGGCTCAAAATCATCATCATTTACTGCATCCTTTTGATGAATCGAACCGTTTTGTACTGAAACTAAAAGTAAATCTGTATTAGTATACTTCCTGGAAGATCTATGCTGCACTTTTAATCTCGGTAACAGTTCTTGATCACCTGTGCATTGAAATACGGATTATTGTCAAGCACTCGTCCAATTTAAAGAAAATAGCTCATTCTATTGATCATCATGATCCAATCTTAGGAGAGGTCTGCAAAGATGGCAACTAGAACAGACTATTCCTGACTGCTCTTTCCTGAGATCCATAGACAGAGATAGAACTACAGGCACACTTTTATTTGCACAGGCAGTAAATCCAGTGTTTCCAGAAGTACCAGACCAAGTGCAAATGTGCAGACCAACCAGATCTATAGACATATGCAATAGGTTCAGGGAAAGTTGCAACACACAGCTCTCTCCTGCCAAGAGGAAAGGCAGTTACCCACCAAGACAACTGTGAAGGGCACCACTATTCAGATATTTAACTCTGTATTTCCTGCATAACTATACTGCCTTAGTGGTATCTCTGAAGCTCTGAGGGGACAAAGCAAAACAGAAACAAGAGCTTAAGTCCCAAAGGGTGATTACAAGCCTTTCCCAACATATATGCTGCTATATGCTGGCATCTCTTCCTACCTGCTCTTCTTGGCCTCCTATTACCTTTCATTTCATCTAAGGCATTACACCTACCTGGAATTTTCCAGCTGCCTAAATTACTTGAAGTGTCTCTCTACCATCCCCCAGGCTACTATTCAAACAAAGCCACACTGCAGAAATTTCTGCTAAGTTCCACTGTTTCCCATGGTGCAAAGCAGAATAAGGACTTAAACCAGCACTTGCAACTATATAACTTGAAGATCTCTTCTCAAAAAAAAAAAAAATTTCTGGTTTTCGAGATGCAACTTTTTTTGGTGTTATAGATCAAAAAGGTTTAGTGGGGAAAAAAAAGTTTCAGAAACCACAGCAGCAGAAGTTACAGCAAAACAGCAGATTTTCTGACAGTTTAAGACACTGAATTAAGAGGTGATTCTGTGGTTTCTCTCTTTTAGCAAATGCTTCTGAAAAGCATATACAACCATATAACTAAATCTTCAACTTTGTTGAAATTAGTGTTTAAGAGTGGAAGGGGCTTCTGTTTCACTGAGCAGACGGGTGCTGCCACACAAAGTTCACATTGTAAACCAAGTGGTGCCTGGACTAAGTCATTTGAATTTTTTTTTTCCACATTTGACTTCAACACCTCTAAAACAAAACTGCCTTCAGTGAATGAAACTAGCTGAAAAAAAAAATGACAAAGGAATAGATATAATCACAATGAACAATCAAAATCCTGGAAAATTTTATTAACTTCAGACAGCAGTAAAAAGAGGTAAAAATTCATAATTTAACACAGAACAGAATAATTTTTTTCAAAGCAATTATCTGGGAAGGAAGAAAGCAACTTGTGTTTTGAATACCTTCTTGAAGTTTTAAAAGTCAGAACACTTGACAGTTCAATTATTACAAACTGGCACAGAGCATTTCTATACTAGTTACAATAAAATATGACCAGCAGTGATAAGCACAATAGGGTCTAGAACTGGACAGAACAATATTCCTAATTAAATACCACATTTGAATTAAAAGTCAGGTGTTGGGGGTGCTTTTCCCCCCACAAATAAAGAGTTTCAGTTAAGGTCATTAATCATCCTGAATTTACACACAATGGTAACATATGAATGAGCTGGAACCACTATATTCCTCTTTATATTTGGCCCAGTTACACATGGGATGATCCTCAAAACATTTTGTCCACGCCATGCCCACTTCTTAGACTTCACTAAATAGTACAGACAGCTCAAATACAATTCTGTTATAATGAAAAACATGGGCAGCAGCATATAAGTTTCTTAAAAGCAAGCAACCACAAATAAAGGAACAGACAGCTGTATGTCAAGACTAGCATACTATCAAAATTAATCTCATACTGACTGCTAATCTTCATGAAACGTGCATGTGCTGTGTTTATTGTTTCACAAAGGTCACTGAAGACAGAATTATTTTTTGGTTTGACATTACAACTAACTTGGAATAGTCTTGTAAATGTATTTTCTTTCTTATTCATTCTGTACTGAGATCCTAAGTCAAAGACAAAATATTTCTACACTGACATTTTTCCTAGTAAATTCATATATTTCTCAGTGAAATAGCATCACTAGAAGCATGTTTCTTTGGTTTTTCATTCTAACTTTACCTAAAGTGTTAATAGTGAAGAATGTAGCCAACACAGACATTTAACAATAGCAAATGAATGCCTCATTCCCAAAATCTTATGTTAAGTATTCCAACTGAACAGGGTAGTGATGAAAATGCTAACTGAAACTAATCTACAGATACTAAAAATATCCGTATCAATACAACACTGAAAATACCACATACTTCCACAAACACTGTGAAAATATACAATGTAATTAGATACTGGGAAGAAACAACTCATCAAACAGAGGAACTTAAAGCTAATATTCTTTTAACTATTACTATCCTTGGAATAACCAAAATGGATAAATTATAGCCAAAGGCATAAGAATAACTTTTTCATTAGAAGTCATCACACCTTACTGTGAAGAATAAATACTAAAAGAAAAAGTAACATTTCATTCTTGTTTTAAACCTAATAATTACATTTAAACCTTCTACAAAACAAAAAGTTATTATGCACAAATAAGTGTAAAAAACAAGTCAGCACCTTCCTATGACAGGTGTGATACGCTGGCACAATAAACAAAAGCGGAAAAAAGGGGAGTTCCAGGAATGCCCTGTTTCTCCCCATCACCATGCCCCTAGAGGACATAATTTGATTGATGTCAATTCTGATGTTTTATGTCAACTGTACAGTAGTTGACAAGTAGAATAAGAAAACTTTCACGACAGTATGATTTAGTCACTGAAGCCTCTGAAAATTAATATCGAACATAACAGATGGATAGTGCTGTTCTACACACTAAAACGTCAATCCCACAAATTCTGGTCAAGGGAAACAGCACAGTACACCAATTTATCAATTAAAACAAAGCATCCAAAACATTTTACTAGACAAAACAAATCAGCTACCTCCCGATATAATTTACAGGTCTAATGTTTTTCATTTCAATATGAAATATGCACACATCCCTTTTACTGCTCACTCACATTCTCAGTCTACCAGACATGTGGACAGGTTCTACCACCCTTTTTAACATCACTGCTCTTATGCACAGAACCAACTTCAGATTAGTCTGTTAACTCAGTATCATATCTTCCTTCAAAGCTTCTTTAAGCAGAGACCTATCATGACAATTGAAAAAGATTATTGTCTGCTAAATGTGGTCAGTAAAGGACTGCTGATACTGACTTAATTTATCCTCTTGAAAAAATCTCTAACCCAAAGTCAACTATTCATGCTACACTGTGCTACCATCTTCAATCTCATAGACCTTTAATCTAATGCTAAATCATAACAGTTTCACCAAGCAGACATTACACCAAATAATTTAACAAAGCAGAGATTATTGTTCTGTTCCACTACAGTTTTCATTGAAGTCATATTCTCACCAAGAGAATACATCATAAGCATTCATTATTTAAAAGGATGCACTCCATAAAAAAATCCAAGTTCAGAAATACAAAAACCTCTTCCTTACATAGCAAACCGAGAGATGTGTTTTGATTCAAACATTCCACAGCAGTGACAAATTATAGAACACAAAAATATGCTAACATAAATAAGCCAAAGTAGAGCTGACTAGTGCATTTTCACACACTGCACCCAAATAGAAATGTTTATTATTTTCACTCCAATTCACATATAATATAGTTCAAAAACTACCTGTATGATTCTCTAACAGATGCAACTCAGTAACCTTGCTAAAACCGAGAAACAGTAATTCAATCACAACACAACTACTTGCTACAATGAATTTGACTTTTCTTCTCACTTAAGGGTAACGTGGAAGGTAAAACCACAAACTACTGCAAAAACATGAAGTAGTTAAAAACTGCAGTTCTGGGAAAAAAAAGGAGAGGTATCAGAATATGAGAGAACAAGTATTAAAGACTGACCGACCGAAGAAGGTCTGAGGAGGTAAACACATGTTCATTTTTCTCTGAATGCAGAGAAATTAAAACAGGTCAAATTCAGCAAGATTTGGGAAGTCTCACAAGCAGTATATGTAACAAGAAACAGATAATCTGCACACAGACAGAATAATAGAATAAGTACATTGCGAATAACATTAAATGACAGCTCCCAGAGAACAATTAGATTAGTTCAGATAATGAACAGAGGGGGGCAAAGAGTACCTGAGCTCAAAACCAATGTTTCTTATCTGCTTAAGTATAATGAGCATATTAACACACAAAGGTACCTGTGTGCATGCTATTCTATAGCTCAGTTTGCTGAGCAGCTCAGAATTAAATGGGCACAAGTGTACTGTTAAGGCAAAAAGAAATTCCAAATAGAATGTTAGTAAGAAAACAAATTTCAGACTAGAAACTGCAAGATACAATCTGAGATGCTGTTTACAACTGACTTGCCAACAATTTTAGAGAGAAGAATATTAAGTAGTCAGTAGTTCCTTCTTTCCTTCTGGGAAAGAAACCTCACAGAGTACGGTATTTAAAAACTAAGATGCTGACAGAAACATGAAAAAAGCAGAAAAGCAGAAGACCTACAAACACTGACAGAAGATTCTATACTGATGCTAAAATGAAGAAAGACCACAAAAATTTTGAGAATAAGGAAGGTGATGTTTTCTGCTCAGACATGAGTAACTAGTCACGTGGTTGCTGTGTAGCAAACTAAGGAAGCTGTTCAAAAATATTCTTCCTATGATTCTATTCACTGGACAGAAAGACCCGAGGTGTACTGGTAAAAGAGATTAAACAAGTGTATCACAAAGTCAGCTAAAAAGAAGTAACTATGTTACTGTACCACTTCTGACATTAAACTTTTGCAAAATAAAACACTTTAAACTGACGCACTGCTGTGCCACAGTAAAAATGCTGGGAAATAACACTTTGGCACACAATTTCCTGTCATCCTGCCCTGAAATAAAAGATATCTTATAGCTACAACCTCTTCCCATGACTGTCTGAAGACACATGATCCTCCATAAACAGCAACATTACAGATTTATACAGAAATGTGAGGTATTAACTTACCTTTATTTCCCTGTCCTTTAGGTCTCTGTATGTAGAAAAGTAGGAGGAAAAAAGCAAAACAAGTTCAGTTAGAATCCTCTGATATTAACTTCAGGGTAATTACATTTATTTGCCAATTCTGCCCTTTTAAACTTAAATATAATTTTAAAATATTATTAAAATCATGTTATAAAAATCTTGTGACATTATATAAAATATTATAAAATATTACAAAACCAAAAACTGATCGAATTTCATACAAAAAATTGGAAGAATCTAGTATTTACAGCATATGAAGCTTAAATGGTGTTGAAAAACTGAACAAGTGCGATTTGTTTGCCCCACACACACCCCAAAAAACATAAGCAATAAACATAAAAACAATGTATTGAGTAAAAAAAAAAAATTAAATTAGTAGCTTTAATTACTGACAATACTTGAACTTCATTATGATATGTCATCTTTTAAATTGACTGACAGGTACGTATCAGAGAATAATCTACAATGCCTTGCTTTTTAGATATACAAAAGAATATAAACTGATATTGTAAGCTGAACTTCAGGCTGTGCATTCCTCACCTAGGCAATTACATGGAGAAAATGATACAGCCTGTACGAAGCTTTCACACAAGGAAATAATACCTTAAGGAGGATTTTTTTTTTTTTTTTTAGGATTAGTCATTACAAAACACTGTTAATCTGTCATGCACTGAGAATCAATGTAACAGTACAAGTTACAGTATCCTTAATTCCTCTATAGCAAGATAAAATCGTTTAGAAAAACAAACATTAGTCCATGAAGACCTAATTCATCCTCTCACATATTTTCAACCGAGCAGGAGTGAGTCCCCAGGCTCCATCACTCTCTTAACAATTTTTATTCCCAAAGAGCTCAGTACTCGGAGGTTTGAAAGTTTAGGAGGTAAACACCTCCATGTTGCTTTTATGTGTATCTGTCTCAGTGCCTGTACACTGTCCAACACTGTTCCCTCTAAATCTGCACTGGTTAGTCACCTCCCTCTCCCACAACCAGAGAACTATCTCTGTAACCTTAAAAATCCCAGCGACCTCATCTTGTGGGATAAATCTCATCCAGACACAAAGGCATGCAAAGACCAAGATACACAGAACTAGAAAAGTTGGGAAGAAGTAGCCTTCATGGAAATCAGAACAATCACAAGCTAAGAGATCACTGAGTTAGAAATAAGTACTTAAAGGAAACTGGAGAGCATGCACGGAAACAAAAGAAACAAAACATTAAAGGCATGGAGAGAAAATAAAAGGAGACAGGACACTGCGGGGCTAAAACTTTTGAGGAGTGGCAGCAGCCCACGGAGGAAGCAGAGACCAAGACAAAACGCTTCCAGCCTGAAAGAAAGCCCAGCAGAGGCCTAGCAAAGATAAGGAAATAACAAATTTTAAGCTCCGTGGAAGACCAACTTTAAAAAAGTGTCCAACGGCGCAAGGAGATAAACTGACAACTGGTGGAAGAAGCAGAGGCCGGAGGGAAAGGGGTGGGTGAGGAAAGCGAAAGGCAGGAAGAGAAAGGATGCGGTAAAGAAGAGCCAGAGGGAATTAGGGGTTTGGAGGGGAGAGGATACGGCGCCGGGCACCGCGGGGAACCTGGAACTGAGGCGCTCCCGGAGCGGAGCGAAGAACCAGGAGACCGGGGGGAGCTTGGCGAGGAGGGCCAGCCCGGGTGGGTCCTGCACAAAGGGGCCGGGCGGCGGCGCGGGCTGAGCGGGGCCGAGCTGAGCGCCGGCGGGCCCTGCGGCCGGGCGGGAGGCGGAGCGGCTCCGGCGGATCCGCGGTTATAAATAGGGGCGGCCGGGCCGGGAACGGGGCCCGCCATCCCGGCTCCCAGGGCCCACCGCTCCCCATGGCGGCGGGGACGGAAGGAAGCAGGAGAGGGAAGGAGAGAGTGAAGAGGCCGCGAACCGCGCCGCCCCGGCGGCGAGGGAAGGTGCAGGCGGCCGCCCTGCCGCCGCCCCCCCCCGCCGGCGGTGGCGACGGGCCTGGGAAGAGGGAAGGGCAGGGAGCGGGCGGCCGCCCCTCCGCCCCGCGGCCGGTACCTGGTCGACGCTGGTGGCTGACATTCTTCACGGGGAGCCGCGATCCCCTCGCTCCGCTCCGCCTGGGCCTCGAGTGATTCCGCACGCCGGGGCCGCTCGCTCGCCTCCGCCGCCTCCTCCCCCTGATTGTCGCCGCCGCCGCCTCCTGGGCTCGCTGCCGCCGCCGTCGATCGGGTTCCCGCTGGAAGGAGCCGCCGGCCGGACACAACGCCGCTTCCCCCCCCTTGCTCTGGGCTCCGCTTCCCCACAATGGCGGACGGGCTCCGGCTCCCACTTCCGCTCCGCGGCGCCCTGACCTTCCGCTCCCCCCTCCGCCGGCGACGCCGCCGACCTTTCCCTTCCCGTCCCCGCCTCCTTCATGTCACGTGGCCCGGGAAGCAGCGCCGCGCGCGCGCGCGCCCATGGCGCGGGGGGGCGGGGCCGGAGGCCCCCGTTGGGAGCGCGCGTGCGCGCGGCGGGAACAGAGATGGGGGGGGTCGGGCCGGCGGAAGGTGTGGGCGCCGCTCCCGCCTCCGGCGGGCCTGGAGTGCGCGTGCGCCTCGCCAATGCTCGGGGGCGAGGGAGAACGGCGAGTTCCCTGCGCTGCTGCGCGCCTGTGCCGCGGAGCCGCCGGGGCGGGGTGTGTGGCGGGAGGGCGGCAGCGGGGCCGAGGGGGGACCCGGCCTGGCCGCCGTGAGCGGCTGCTGCTGCCTGCGGGGCGCTCGGGCAGCCCTGCCCGGACCAGCTCCTGCCCCCCGTCCTCTTCTCTGGATCACAGCGTGGGTCAGGTTGGAAGGGACCACAGAGGGTCATCTGGTCCAACCTTCCTTCTCACGCAGGGTCATCCCAGACACATGGCACAGGATTGTGTCCAGACAGTTCTTGAATATGTCCAGTGAGGGAGACTCTACAACCCTTCTGGAAAATCTTTTCACATGCATGGTCACCCACATGGCAAAGAATTTCTTCATACTGAGATGGAATTTCTGTGCATCAATTTCTACCCATTGCCTCTTATTCTATTGGTTGGCACCACTGAGAAGAGCCTGACTCCATCCTCCCCTTGGATATTTATACCCACTGATAAGGTCCCCTCTCAGTCATCTCTTCTTGAGGCTGAACGTGCTCAGCTCCTTCAGCCGTTCCTTGTAAGAGAGATGCTCCAGTCCCTTAATCATCTTTGTTGCCCTCCACTGGACCCACTCCAGGAGCTCTGTGTCCATCTTGTACTGAGGAGTCCAGAACTGGATACAGTACTCCAAATGGATCCCGCTGGTGGTACATGTAACCCTGCTACCTCTCCCACGGCACCCCAGTGCGGGGCTGTAAGTGGAGTCCAACCTGGGCTGGAGTCCAGAACCCTGGGTGGCTATGCCCTCCAGCCGGGTGAGCTCATGGATGGCAGGATTACCTGCTCGTAACCCTTATCCTGCCACCCACGTCCACTCTGCTCTACCGCTGGCCAGCATTTGGAAGTCTGTGCTTCGGTGCAAGTTTCGTGGGAGAATAAACAATGCTTCATTAAACATGGGGTTTTTACTTAGCTGCTTTCAGTTCCATCATTAATGAATTACATATGCCTTAATCAGTATAGGGGCTTCCTGTAGCAGCCATCAGTAAAATCCAAGACTGCTTCAACAATGCCCACAGAGGAGAATTAAGCATTTATAAACTCCAGTCTGAAAAGACAGCGTTGTAGTTCATATACTGTGTTTAGTGTTTGGAGGAGACAATGCCTTAAATCCAACACAATTGTGTAAACATAGCTGTCAGCACAATGGGAAGGTGCATCCCTCAAGACCCTCAGTCCAAGTTCATTTTGAAACTTGATGCCTGTGTTCTTTCTTCACAAAGTAAAGTGGTTTGGTTTTGTTTAGCAATTGCACAAAAGGATCTTGGGAAAGCAACATTTCTGGATGAAGTCAGTTTATAATTGCAAATCATTTCTTAAAATTGTCAAAAAGTGAACATTATATTGGAAGTTACTCAGAGTTGGTGGAGGTAAGGCTTGTAGAGTGTTCATTTATTCCACTGCAGTGAAGTCTGTAATTTTGACAACCACCCATCAAGAAACACCCTAGAGTACAGAGGAAAGCAACAAGGATGATGTAAGTTTGGATCTGGAAAATAGATTCGAAAAGAAAAGATTGAAAGAATTGGCTTTGGTTGGGCCAAGAGTGAGAAGAATGAGGCTAGGATATGACATGAAGAAAGTCATTGAATATTTTTATGCATTTCAAGCAAGACAAAATGTCATGGATTTAAACTGCAGCTGGCAAGGTTAAAGTTGATCTTCTTTTATGACACCTGGATGAAGTATTAAACCTTTTGTAGATCTGCAAAGCTAGCTTTGGATAAAACTCATTTAAAACACAAGTAAGACTGCACTCCCACCTCTAGCACCACAGTTTCAAAGGAGGTGGAATCTTTAGATTCGGTATTTCAAATCATATATCTGTCCCTTTTTTCCAGTTCTTCTAATTCATAGGCAGCTATGGTATGAGGGGATTTTCACTTCTTGGTGAAGGGTTATAGTTTACATACAAAAAGTAGACCTTGAGTAGACAGAAGAAAAGTGAGTCAAATAGAGCACAAGCACTTAAGTAGGAGTTCCCGCATTAGATAGTCTCCTTACCAATAAGCTAGGCGTTCATTTCTGCCTTCGGTTTGTTGGGGGCTTTTTGTTTGTTTTTCTGGCATCTTCTATCCTTATTTCATTTAACCACAGTGAAATAACTTCAACTCTTCAACTTTGTAATGCGTTTTGGTGGGGTGATAATGCCTCGAGAAAGGTGGGTTCTAATCTGTTCCCACTGATGAGAGAATTCAGATCTCAGCATTTCTTAGGTCGTGGGGACTACCAGCCATGGGTACCTCCCACAAAGTTACATGCTGAGTACAACAGTGAAAATTCCAGTTTTGATCTTGGAGACCTAAATTGGACATCAGTAACAATCAACAGGAATCTACCACAGAAGTCCGTTAGAGAATCTGGGCCACTGAAGCATCAGATTTTAAACCATCTGTTTCATAGCACCTTGCCAGTTCTCAAGATTTTTTCCTGTGACCTAGGAAATGTGGCTTTTTAACCCTCTATTTTTGGAATCATAAAATGATATTAAATGGCCAGTGTTTCAAATGGTTTGGTCCCTCCTGATTAGACAAAGAAGTCTGGAAAGAATGCAGCCAAAGGCTTTGAAAACGAGCATCAGGAAAGGAGGACTCAAATTTATTACATGTTTAACATCTCATTGGTTTTGACCCAAGGCCATTAATTTTATGAGACTGGCAGGTTTTTTTGAATATTTGGGCTTTTAAATGTTGCTCTTTTCATAGAAGTACTGTATTGCCTTTGAGATAGTGCTGGCCCCTAGTGACTTAATAACATCTATTTAGTTAAATATGCAATGTAATAGGGGAAGAAATAAAAGCCCTAGGAATTTTTGTATTCAGTTTATAATGGTTGCTGTGATTTGTATGACAAAAATCCAATGTGCTGCAAATATTTCCAGTTTTTTGATAATGTTGGTGTCTGTACTGTGAAATGGTTCTAAATTGGTCCTCCTTATCTATATTATTAGAAATGTGGTAGAGTGAAAATTATCCTTAAAGAAAGTGCAAGTTCAGCAGGATTCCAGTCTGCATTGCAAGCTTAGGCTCAAATAAACCTTTTTGATGGGGAATTATGCAAGCCTCTGGGGACTTGCTGGAATGCTCGGTGGCAATTAGTTCTGTAATATTATAGTTCAAGTTCTGGCCTTATGTGGCTCTGGAGACTTTGGAAATATATATGGTTCATTTTTCAAAATGCTTTTAGGTCTAGTTTTTAGCCCCTCTAATTTTCCATTGTCCGGTAGTTACGTTCAGGAATGTTATTTGTGATCCGAGCTATAATAGATTGATTCCACCACCCTTTGCCATCAGATTATCATATCAAAGATCGTCATCCACGTGCGTGCCTTGAAGAGTTGGTGCCAATGGAGCCATTTCTAAGCCAGTTTGCTGACAGTTTTCTGAATTAACTTAATTGGGCAGGGAGAGTCAACCAACAGTAACATTCTCATCAGGACTCCATTTCCTCGTGGTTGTTTGAAATGTATATCAAACAGACATGTGCTCATGACCCCAGAAAGGTCTTGGGGCCCTTCTAGAAATATAGCTCTAGACTACAACAGAACTCAGGAGGATGACACTTCCCTGTGTTTAACCATGAAATCAATAGGTCCTTATCAAAGTCTTCCCTGTTACATTCAACCAAACCTTTTGGATTTTTCCATTACTTCTTTTAGCATAGTGGTCATGCCAACTTAATGGCAAAATTAAAGGGCAAAATGATGACCGTGTTTACCCTTCTGAGATACCTTTTTCCCTTCAGCTTCACTGGACAAAACCTGAAAAAGAACATATGTATTTTTTAAAAATTAGGAAAACTTTATGGTAACAATTTCTTTGAAAACAATTGAGATTGCAGACACAAGTCCTGAATTGCTCAGAAAATGCAGTGAAGATTTTTCTTAAGCATTAAAATGTAAAAAAAGACCATGATTTTCCATACTTCTCTGAGGCTCTCACTGAACTGTAAAACGGGTGCTTTGTCAAGTCTTGGCTACACATAGAAAGTGTCCCCCAAGAATATTAAAACCTAATACTAGACAACAGACAAACTGTAAATAGCCTCCTGCCTCTGCTTCTCAGTGTAGCCTAACAGTTGAAAAGGATTATGAAAATACTTGTTAAATAAGTTGAAAATAGATGCTACTATTGTTCTTCTGTTTCTACTGTCTCCAAATACATATATATATATATATAAACATCAGTACATTGTGGTATAGTGTTGGTGATAGACCTTCTCCAAGTAGTAAGCTGGACTAGGTGGCTTTCAGATGTCCCCACTAACAATATTTTTATTATTATCTGTGATAGGGAGAAACTGTGAATGATTCATGGGACAAAGTCAAAGCTCAAGTGTTGGTGACTGCTGATGAACTTGCCTTTCAGAATGACCCAGTTATTAGCACACCTCCAGCTACCCTTTGGTATTAGCTAGGGTCAAGAGGCTGGGATGCCCAGCTTCATCTGGCATGAAAGGAGCATTGCGTTAATGAAAGTCCTCAAAAAATGGGTGTAAATGAGTGGAAAACAGAGCTCAGCTGTAGATAAATAAACAATTTTCCTCTGTGTGTGTGAGATTTAATAGTTCTCAGCTATTAAATATAGGCATATATAAAGACTTTATCATATATAATTTACTCAATCGTTATTACACAGCTACATATTCTGCACGCTGTGTGAAATTCAGTTGTATGCTGAAGTCCAGGGCAGGTCCCAGATTCCAGCAAGCATTCTTTTCCAAGATTTTAACAGTTCTGAATGTACAGAATCATCTACATAACAGG